TATTTGTTTAACTCGGCAAAGCTGTGCTACTTTGCTTGTCTAAAACACCTGATTGGTCTAATAAAGAGCTGTACAGCCAATAGCTAAGCAGGAGAGGGACACACAGTGCTGCCAGGCAGAGAGAATGAACAGAAAAGAAACATAGGCTCTAGAGAAGGGCAAGGAGTGAGAAAAAGAGGAGAGAACACCAGGGGCCTGTAGGGGAACCTGTAGCCACGCCTGCTTAGGGGCTGGCTACAGGTCTGCCTGACCACGCCTGTGAGGGCATAGTCAGGGTGCATGGAGTAAGAGTTTCAGGTGGCTGGGTTTCACTTTTGTTTTCCTTTTTGGCTTGCTGTACAGACTGCTGCCACGCTGGCTGGCTAGGTCGCTCTGTAAGTAAGGCTTTTCCCTATTAAATACCCTTATATTTCTACTTGGCTCCGTATTGATAATTTCCCATTTTAGGGGCCAGCCACACAGCCAGCTACAGAATTAAGAAGAAAAGAGAGATATATAGAATAAAAATAGGTAAAAATCCCAGAGGTAAAACATACTTAAAGAGAAACAGTTTAGGGCTGGAGAGATGGCTCAGCAGTTAAGAGCATTGACTGCTCTTCCAGAGGACACAGCTTCAATTCCTAGCATCTACATAGCAGCTCACAACTGTCTGTAACTCAAGTTCCAGTGGACCCAACTTCCTCACAAAGACATGAGGTCAAACGCCACTGCACATAAAAAGGAGAGAGAGAGAGAGAGAGAGAGAGAGAGAGAGAGAGAGAGAGAAATTGTTTAAGTCAGAAAAGCTGGGTAGAAATAACCCAAGCTAAGGCCAAGCATTTATAAGAATAAGTCTCCATGTATTTATTCAGGATCTGGGTGGTGGGTGCCTAAAGAGCAAAGAGTTAAATAAAAAAAATGTAACCAATCCCACATGCAAGAGAGGGCTGATTTCCAAAATATATGAAGAATTCAAGAAACTAGACATCAAAAAGCAAATAATCCAATTAAAATGGGGTACAGATCTAAACAGAGAATTCTCAACAGACACAGAGAGGCTAGGTAACAAGGAGGGCCCAAAGGGGACACATGGATCTCCCTAGGAAAGAGATATAGAAGAGATCCCATTGGTGGACTGGGGTGGACGAGGATGGGAACAGGAGGGATCAGGTTGGGGGTGCATGGAGGGAAGAGCCCTGAGACAACTGGAAAAGGGAGGACATTTCAGGGTAAGGTGGAAACCTAGTGCAATGGAAACTCCCAGGAATCTACAAGGGTGACCCCCTGGTAAGACTCCTAGCAATAGTGGATATGTAGCCTGAACTGGCCACATCATATAACCAGGCAAGACTTCCAGTGAAGGGATTGGGACACCACCCAGCCACACAACCTTTGAACTAGTTATTCCTGTCTGCGGGATATGCTGGGGTAAGGGTGGTGCAGAGATTGTAAGAGTGACCAACCAATGAGTGGTCCAGCCTGAGACACATGCCATTAGAGTGAGCCCACCCCTGACACTGCCTGGAGTGCCAGGATCCAGAGGCTGGATGATCCAGATACCAAGGACAGAACCAAGCACGACTGAAGAAAAAATATGCCAATGTAATGATGCCTAATGATATTCTGCTATACTCATAGATTGGTGACTACCCAATTGTCATCAGAGAGCCTTCATCCAGTACCTGACGGAAACAGATGCAGACACCCACACCCAAACATTAGTCTGAGTGGGGGAATCCTGCTGAAGAGAGGGAGAATAGACTGTGCAAGCCAGAGGGGTCAAGGACATCACAAGAAAACCCACAGAAACGACTAACCTGGGCTTATCGGAGCTCACAGAGTCTGAACTGACAACCAGCGAGCCTACATGGGATCAACCTAGGCCCTCTACATATGTGTGACAGTTGTGTAGCTTGTTCTACTTGTGGAACTCCTAACAATGGGAGCAGGGGCTGTCCTTATACTTTGGCTGGCTTTGGGGAACCTACTTCTCATACTGGGTTGCCTTGCCCAGCCTTAATACAAGTGGAGGTGCTTAGTCATATTGCAACTCAATATGCCATGTTTTGTTGATGACCCATAGGAGACCTGCCCCTTTCTGAACAGAATCAGAGGAGTAGATTGGGAGGGGTGGGGCAGAGGGGAGGTAGCGGGGAGAGAATTCGAGGAAAGGGGGGAGGGGAAACTGCAGTCAGGATGAAAAATAAATTAATTTAATTTAAAAAATATTTTCAATAAACGAGAAAGAAGAAAGAAAAACAAAGGAGGAGGAAGAGAGAAAGAAAGAAAGAAAGAACTGGAGATGGCCTGATGGTGAAGAGTACATTCTGCTCTTGTAGAGGACCCAAGTTTGGTTCTCAGCACCCATGTCAGGTAGTACACAACTGTCTGAAAAAACTGATACCCCCAACCTTCCTAGGCATCTGCTCTCATGTGCACATAAACACACACACACACACACACACCTGTAGAAAAGGAGGAAGGAGAAGGAGAAGGAGAAGGAGAAGGAGAAGAAGAAGAAGAAGAAGAAGAAGAAGAAGAAGAAGAAGAAGAAGAAGAAGAAGAAGAAGAAGAAGAAGAAGAAATGGAGAAATGACTTGACTAGGTATTTCTCTAGAGCAGATATACAATGTGCCAGGAGAGATGACCATGGCAAAATGCTTGCCATACAAATTCGAGGAACCTGGCTTCTGTAACATCAGTATTTAGAGGGGCAGAGACAGGAGGGTCCTAATCATTCACTGGCTAGCTGATCTAGACAAAATGTGGAGCTTCAGTCTCAGTGAGAGAGCCAGTCTCAAAGCAGATGATGAAAAATGATTGAGGAAGACACCAGACATCAACCTTTGTCATCCACATACCCACATGGGCATGCCTACCTGCACACACATGAACGTGTACACACATATACACATAAAGACACACAAATGACCAGCCAGAACATGAAGACAAATGTTCTCCATGAATTAGGGAAATAAAGGTCCAAGCAAAAACCCATCAGAATGGTTACTACCAAAAAGCAAAGCTAAAATGTGTATTGTGAAGGATGAGGAGACAGTAGTTGTGAAAAAAGTTCAGTGTATCAGGTCCTCAAAAAATTAAAACTAGAGCTGGGCCTGGAGCACACACCTTTAATGCCAGGACTCAGGAGGTAGAGGCAGGGAAATCTCTGAGTTCAAGGTTATCTTGGACTACAGTATGAATTCCAGGACAGCCAGGGCTACTCAGAGAAGCCCTGTCTTGAAAAAAAAAAAAAAAAAAAAACAACTTTTAATTAGAATTCTACTGTGTATGAATCCAAAAATCATTGAAAGCATGGCTTTCTACTTTTTGAGACAGGGTGTTGCTGTGCAGCCCAGGCTGGCCTCACCTTCTTGAGTGCTGTGATTATAGATGCTTACCTGAGATTAGGGTTTTGAAGATGTATTTGTACCTCTGTATTTATAGTAACATCAGTCTCAAAAGCCTGAAGATAGAAACACCCCAAGGGGATCAATGGGTGAATAGGCTAAATGGGGTACCATGACAGTCAACATTGTCAACTTGACAAGATGTAGAGCCTTCTGGGAGACAAGCCTTTGAGCATGTCTGTGAGGGGTCACCTAGATTAGGTTAATTAAGATGGGAAGACCCACTATGAATGTGGGTGCCATCCCAGGGGCTGGGGTGCCAGACTTTGTAAAAAGAAAAAAGCCAGCTGAGAAACTCCATTCATCGCTGTCTGCTACATGTCTGTGAAAACATGGCCAGCTCAACTCTGGTCATCATGACTTCCCTGCCACAGTGGACTGTACCCCACACCTGGAAGCCAAAACAAACCCTTTTTCCATTAAGTGCTTTTGTCAGGGTGTCATCACTCCAATGGAATCTGACTACAGGGTGAGAGCCTGTCACTGGGCTGGCAACAAGACAGTGGGAGGAAGCACTTGACGCAAGTTCAATCCTTAGAACCCACAGAAAAGTGAGAGGATTTTAAAGCTAATTCCACAAAGTTGTCTTCTGACTGTCACAGCCCATGGCACATGTGTATACACACATACACACAATAACTGTACTAAGTAGTTGGAAGCATATTCCTTCCGTTGCTACTACCTCCGGCTCTGCTTCTATAAACTTAGTTGTCACCAGTAGGACTGGGGAATTAACTCAGTAAAGTTCCTGTCCCACATATTGTAACTTTCAAATCCCCTTGAAAAAACTTGGGAGGGGGGGAGCTGGGCAGAACGAAACAGATTAGCCACTTGCATTAGATATTGCTTGTTGCTGTTATGAAAAAACAAACAAACGAAAAACCCGAAACAATAACAGAAACATGACTAACTAATAGAAGAAAAAGTTTATTTGGGCCTAGAGCTCCAGAGAGGTCCTCATGGCAGGAAATCGTGGCAGCAGACATGATGACATGAACAGCTGAGAACTCATCAAACCACAAACAGGACGCTCACAGAGCAAACCTGACATGGCTGGAGGCTTTGGAACCTTGAAACCCACCTTAGTGACACAATTCCTCCAGCAAGGCCACCCAACTGGGGACCATACATTCAAATATCCAAGAATGTGCAGATGTACTGAGGATTTTTTGTTTTTTGCCAAATTTTTCCAACATCTGTCCTAAAAAGGGTGTTTTCTTGTTCCTTTAAGGTGGAGTATAATGCATATGTAGGGAGGAGTAAATGTGTGTACATGTGTGTGTGCATGTGTGTATGTAGGCCAGAGGCTGATGACGGGTGTCACTCTCCACCTTATGTTTTGAGACAGTGTTTGTCACTGAACCTGGAACTTACCATTTCAGCTAGACTAGCTGACCAGAGTCCCAGGATATGCATATCTCTGTCTGCACAGACCTGAGGCCAGGCATAGACATGCACCATGGCTGGCTTTTTATATGGGTGCAAGAGATCAAACTCAGGGCCTCATGTGTGTACAGCAAGCACCACTGAGCCATCAACTCCACCTCAGGAGTATTCTTAGATACTGAAAAACTGATTCTATTTCATACTGCAATATCACACTGTGAGGCATATATAGAAATGGCTTTTTATTTCATTTTGATGGCCTGGAAAACAACATAACCAACATAGTTTAAATTGATATGACTGAATTTTATGAAAATAAAGAGATGTTTCAACAACAAAAAGTTCTCCCTGGTACTTGCTTTGGCTGGGGCCTTTGAGATTAAGGCCAAGGTGCTGATAAGCAAAGTCACCTTTGAAAAGTCCCCCTGAGCACACAGTATAGGGCCCCATGGCTAACTTTGAGCAAACTCAAAAACTGAGTTTCAGAAGGTTCTGGGCTGTGTGTCTTGGGTGCCTTGTGGCTCCTTGTGCAGTGACGTGTGAGGTAGCTTTCTTTGTATTTTGCAGACATTCCTGTTTGTGCTCTGGCCAAGCAGGTGATTGTCCCAGGTGTGGGATCTCTGGGTTGCCCACGCCTGCTGGGTCTGCCTTGTCCAGCCTAAGCCTGCAACTCTGCCTTCCAGTCTAGCTCTTCAGATCCAGAGGCATGCTTTCTTCATCCACGGGTTGTTTAGGTTTTAATTGGCTGTTCAATGTTAAAAAGGAGTATCTTAAGCCACCTGCCATGCTGAAGAGAAAGGGGGAAAAGTGAAAATCCCACAAGCACTGTTAATGTTTTTATCATTACAGTCAGCTTAATTTGCACCCAACTACTAAGATCACTGTTTTGTTGTTGTTGTTGTTGTTGTTGTTGTTGTTGTTGTTTTTTCCTCACAGGGTTGTGGACTGAGAATTCCTTCTCTACAAACATTTGGGACAGGAAAAGAAAGTGAGTGCTCAAATTGTACTGAATAAAGTATATGCAAGGATTCTACAAAGAATACCCATGCCTAGAACCCAAAACTGTTCAAAAGCATCACAGTCCCAATGGCATCATCAGGACATAGCACTTCAAAAGGCCACAAGGTAATGAGACCCACATGGCAGAAGAAAGATGTTCAAATTGAGTTTAGACCTCAGGCCTGAGATTCTTTATGACACATGTCCCCCCAGAGACCATGTAAAAATGATGTCTCCAAACACAAAGGGCCTGAAGCAGAGGATGTGGCTGGGTGATAGAGCACTTGCCTGGCATGCACATGGCCCTGGTTCCATCCCCAGCATGACAAATAGAACATTTCTCTTTGCTCTTTTCACTTACTGTATACCCAGTAATTATGTTAAATCCCTTACTTTACTGTGAGTTCACTTACCAAATATTTAACCCTATAAAGTTTAAGAGGGAGAAAATGTAGTCTCCACCAACCAACATCCCAATGTAGGCAACAGATACATTCTGCAAAGAAAGAGGACTCATCACTGGAAGGAACTTTGGGGAAAACACAGACATATGAAACCTGAAGCCAGGCATCAAGTTATTTTACATAGAGGTTTGCATAGAATACCTAGCGACATCCGGCTTTATAAATAGATGAAGTCAACTAAAATGCAGTAACAGAAATCTGCACTGTTCACTCCTTCCAGGCGAAAGGTGGGAGAGCCAAGTTGTAATTGATTGCCAGCTCTCATCTTTATACCATCACCCCCACCCTGAACAGGGCAGCCAGCTAAGTTCTAAGCAGAACTCTGTACAAGATACTTGAGGAAGCCACTGGGTGGAGTAGGTAAGATTTGTTCACTCACCCTAGGAGCTTATGTGAATGGACTAGAATTCAGCCTACTCCCTATTCAAGGGTGTGTGTTTCCAAACGCTCACAAGCATACACAGACAATCTGCCAATCCAAGTTCACTGCTGTATCACTGTGCATAAATGTCACCAAAAACTTCCTTCAGCACTTTGTTTTCTTAGAGGGCAAGTTCTCCCAGCAAACCAAATTCCAGACAATGAAGTGATCATAGATATTTGCATTATTTTTCTTTCAGGTTGTTACTTGGTTTTCCCCCAAATTATGCCTTCACCTGCCTCCAATTTCAAAGTAATTGTCTCTTTCCTTTTTGAGTTAGCAACTTCACTCACACACTAGTTCAGCAGAGGGATCACACAGACCCCTGAGGGAGTCACAAGCCCCCACACTCATTGTATATCTGTTCACAGCAAAAACAGCTTTCAGCAAACAGTTTCCATCTGGCTCCCACCGAAGTGTTCAGTGTAAGGCTCCATCACTTACCTTGATAGCTCCAACCACTGCGGTGGTCAGAGCTGAGTTGTAGTAGCTGCAAAGAACTGTGGAGTACATCAGCAGAAACCTGAGGGCAGGAGACACAGACCGCATGAGCGCCGACCTGTTCTGGGTGACATGAAGATCCTAGAACCAGATCTAGACATTTGTTGTTGGGCTTTTTACAAGAAATAGGCTCAGCTGTGCATAAGACAAACCTGATTAGGTGTCTGGCATTTCTCATCGGTGTGTCCACAAAGTGAGGGAAAGAAAAGGATTTATCAGCATGTATTAATTCCACAAGTTTCATTTTGACATCATCTTCATATAGTACACAGTATATTTTGATCATATTCTACTCCCACTAACCCCTGCTCAGTTATTCCCCTTTCTATTTCCAAAAGGCTTTTGGTTTTGTTGCGGGAGGTGGGGGGGGGGCTTTTGTCTTTGTTTTTGATGACCCACTGCATTTTTTGTTTGTTTGAGATAAAGTGGATCTCTCTACTTAACCCTGGTTGGCCTGAAACTCACTGTGTAGACAAGGCTGGCCTTGAATTTAGAGAGATCCACTTGGCTCTGTTTTCCAAGTGCTTGGATGAAGGGCATACAATACCACACCTGTCAAAATGTCCTTGTTTTGACAGAAACGTTACTAGTTTTGTTAGGCCACTCTGAAAAATACCTTGGCCCCATTACCCATCTGCCAGGAGCATGGGCAGCCAGAACATTTACTTACCACCACACTGAGCTAGAGGAGGGGGATCACTGGCTAACAAACTGGAGTGTGTGTGTGGGGGGGTGAACCCCAGTCCTTCCTAACAGAGGGTTTGAAGATAGAGAGGCTGCAGTTCTCAATATGCCCACTAGATGTCCTCAGAGAAGAAGAATAGAGGAATTTTGTTTGGCTTGTTTTTTGTTTTTCAAGACAGGGTTTCTCTGTGTAGCTCTAACTGTCCTGGAACTCTAACTGTAGAGTGGGCTGGCCTTGAACTCGCAGAGATCCACCTGCTTCTCCCCTCCTAAGTTCTGGAATTGAAGGTGTGAGCTACACCTGGTTTTGGTTTTTTGTTTGTTTTACAAGTTATTTTTAAATGGGGCTCAGTTTGTAAAGTGTGTAAGGCAAGGATGAGGACTTGTGTCTAGACCCTGAACACACATTTAAAAAATAAAGCCAGATGGGATTGTGCACACATGTAATCCCAGGACTAGGGAATAGAAAGAAGAGAGGGGATCTATGGGCTTGCTGGTCACCCAGCATAGCCAAATCAGGAGCTCTAGGTTCAGTGGGAGACCCTTTGTCAACAGGCAAGGTGGAGAGCAACAGAGGTAATACCTGAGGTCAACCATTGGCCTTCAGACACGTGTACACACATGGGCATGTCTACACACCCGGACAATATAAATTATTTTTAAAGAAACATTTCTGCATGCTGAGAATTTACCTATGAAGGGCATTGGATAAGACCAAGACCTTGGTCTAAAAGAGCCTTCATTAATTCCTTACATGGTGTTTTACTTAGGGTTACTATTGCTGTGATGTAACACCATGACGAAGACACTTGGGGAGGAAAGCATTTATTCAGCTTACACTGACACAGAACTATTCATCATTGAAGGAAGTCAGGATAGGGACTCGGAGGCAGGAGCCCGTGCAGACGCCATGGAGGAGTGCTGCTTACTGGCTTGCTCAGCCTGCTTTTCTTATCAAACCCAGGATGACCAGCCTGGGGATGGCACTACCCACGATGGGCAAGGCCCTCCCCCCATCAATCACTAATTAAGAAAATGCCCTACAGCCAGATCTTATAGAAGCATTTTCTCAACTGAGTTGGATAAAACTATGCAGCACACATAGGAAATCACATCACTTGGTTTCTGTTTGTATTGACTTATTTACTTATTTTTTAGTTCCATACAAGGCAGGCCAGCATATTACATGAGTGTAGTGCACATGTCTGGACAATAAAAATCAATTTACACACCTACTACCATGTAATGGCACTGTGGTGATCAATCTGGTCAATATGACTAGACTTAGGATCAGCACAGAAAAGTACTACTGGGCATTTCTGTGAGGGAATTTCCAGGAATGTTTAACTTTAAGGGAAGGGAAGACCCACCCCGGATGTGGGCAGCACAGTCCCATGGGCTTCAGCCCAAGGCTGAATAAAATGGAGTACGTGAGCCAAGATGCACTGGGCTCTCCAACAGTGAGTCACAGCAGAGAGAAAAGTACATTTCCGTCTTTGATTCCAGGCTCATACCCACAGTCACAGGTAGGTCATAGAAGCCAGAATCTCTCCTCCTCTCCTCTTTGGAGGAGGCTTACACTTCCATCTTTTTCCTCCTTCTGTCTTGGAGCTGGCCATGAAGAAACTATCTGACTTATCTCATCTGGTAAATGATCCTAAGAACCCCATTTCTGAAGGACAGTGAGTGTCTCTTCTATAGAGAGAGTGGAAAACATCTTAAACAGAAAGGGTTTCCAGGCTTGACCCACACTGCCTTATCAATGTGAGAACACACCCTGCCTGTCCAATGGCATCTCCACGCCACAGTCCACATTTCAATTTTGTCTATGCCGTGACAACTGAGCACTTGGGGATTTACAGAAAGGGAAACAAGGGTGAGCCTTGCATTCATCAAGAAATCAGTGTTCTCCACCTCCACAGTTGACCCTCCCAAGTCTGCATTATTTTTCCTCCAACTGCTCATCTGTATTCTTTAAACTATCCTTTATAACAAGCCTCTGGGTATCTGGTGTTTTCTTTATGAGTTTTGTGGTTGCTCTAGCAAATGGCTTGGATGGGAGGAAGATGTCATATGAACCCCAATTTTAGCCAATGCTCTGGAAGTTCTGGATTTGTGGGCTGGGGAGATTACTCAGTTGGTAAAATACACAAGGACCTGAGATCCATCTCAAAATTTCACATAGGGGTGGGAGTGGGGGAAACTGGGCATGGTAGTGTACTTACAACCCCAGCACTGGGAAGTTAGTGGATCCCTAAGGCTTGATGGCAAGCCACTCTAGCTGAGTCAGTGACTTCCAGGCCATTAAGAGACCCTGTCTCTAAAAAGCAAGGTAGATGACTGACTTAGGAGAATTTATAGCCTGGAACTGTTCTGACCTCTGTGTTTTGGCACATGCATGCGTGTGTATGAAAACACACACACACACACACACACACACACACACACGTGCGTGCATTGAGGAGAGAGGAAGGAGAAAGAGGGAGAGAAAGAAACAGGAAGAGGGAGAGAAAGGAAGAGAAAGGGAGGAAGCCACAGAGAGAGAGCAGAGAGAGAGAGAGAGAGAGAGAGAGAGAGAGAGAGAGGATAAATGTTAAATTATAAAGTAATTTTAATGTAATATTTTAAAATTATAATTTCAACAAATTCAATAAAGGTCCGGTGGTTGAGGAAAAGAAGTTTGGAATACAAACTTTAAAGTGGTGAAATTAACTAAGAGACTGCAGCTGGCGCTCTGGGTCCTGTCCTGAGATGCACCTCACACTAAACCTGAGACGCCTGCTGAGTGGACAGCCCAAGCCAGTGGCCAGTGGTCCTGAACAGTGACTTCTGAGGGAAGCAACATAGCTGGTTGTGACAACTTTTAACTATGCTCCTGGAAGCATAAATTTGAAAACCCAATATGCCAAAGCTAGAGCTGTCTTCTCGCACAGTTTTGGAATTAAAACTTAATAAAGGAGGGCATGGAAGAGTAGAAAAACTATGACAAGTCTGTCTATGGAGAAAGCAGACAGCCAAACTCAATGATTTCAAAAAGAGAGCTAATACTAGCTGAGTATGGTGGTCCCAGCACACAGAAGATGGAGTCAGGACAACCAGAACTCAAGCCTGGGATAACATGAGACTCTCCCTCAAACAAACAAACAAAAAAAGCCAAAACAAAACCAGGAAAGGGATATTAGCAATCACAAGAACTTTTTTTTCTTTTTTGTTTTCTTCCTCCTCCTAGCTCAGTCTACACATAAACTTTGAGAATCTCCTGCCTCAACCTCTTAGGTGATGGAACCAACTACAGCAAGCTCCACAGTGCACAGCTTAGTATTTCCAACTGACCCTTTTCTGTGTGTTTAGTATCTTCCAAGTCTGCTCTACAAGTAAATCCTTCAGTATGCATACCCTAGCCTCATGAGAAGATAAGGTTAAGTAGCTTATCACAAACCCAGAGCTAGTAAGTGGCAAATCAAGGACGACTGAACTTCCACACATGTGTTGTGATACATGGGTGGGTGGATGGACACACACACACACACACACACACACACACACACACACGAGAGAGAGAGAGAGAGAGAGAGAGAGAGAGAGAGAGAGAGAGAAATGATAATAAATTAAGAACTGCATCAACAGGATGACTATTAAATCCAACAAAGCTAAAGAAAGACTTAATGGAAGCTACAGAGATGGCTCACTGGTTAAGAGCACTCGCTGCTCTTGCAGAGGACCTGGGTTCAGTTCTCACCAGCCACATGGTGACTCACACACCTGTAACTCCAGTTCCAGGGGACCCAGAACTCCCTCTGACCTCCATAAATAGCTGTGACACTGAAATGTTTGGACCAACAAGAATATAAAGTCTGTACTTCCAGCACAGACACATTTTTAAAAAAACATCTTCTACCCACATGTGTGTGGTGGGGATGGGTGCACTGACCAGAGAAAAGTCAAGAGAAACACAGGAAACAGGATCTGGCAGCACAGACAGACAGACATACGACAGACAGATGGCATATTTAGATCTGACTTGTCAAGAGATACTATCAATCAAATCTTCTGCTCATGGACAGTTTCTTACCCCAAAAGACAGGAAAGAAGAAACTGAATAATAAACAAGACGTTCTTCCAGTGGCTGAATTCAGTGGCCTGTGAGGCAAAAGATCCATGGTGAGGTTAGTGACCATTTGGTTTAAATCCATCTGGCACAGTCTTACCACCTTTAGTGCCGTTGGCATTATTACCCACTTCTCCTAGCAAAGAGGCACGCAGTAAATATCTATAACTATTTAAACACGGGCTTATTATACTACTCTCTAAACTTCTGTATGTTTTGAAAGTTTCCACTATAAAAAGATTTTATTGTTACTTACAAAGTGGTTCTCTGATTCCTTGTGTATACCATGGCACAAGTGAACTCTCACACATGTACAAAATAATAAAAATAATCATAATCATAAAAAATTAAAAATCAAGAGCTAGGGCTGGAGAGATGGCTCAGCGGTTAAGAGCACTGACTGTTCTTCCAGAGGTCCTGATGTCAATTCCCAGTAACCACATGGTGGCTCACCACCGCCTTGAATGAGATCTAGTGCCCTCTGCTGGCATGCAGGCAGAAGACTGGATACATAATAAAAAAATAAAATCTTAAAAAAAAAAAAACAAAAAACAAAAAACAAGAGCTAGAAGTATTTATGTGAACTGTAAATAAAAAATATTTATTCCTGACACCACAAACCCAGGGAGGATTATTTAGCGATATTACTTAATATATAGATTCTTTACCAGCCTACAGTTTAATAGATGTTAGTTTTCTATCATTTCTTTAAGACTGAATCTATACTGATGACATTTGAAGAAAAAGCATCTACAAAGCATTCTGGATTATGAATCCTTTTCATTTGGGGTTTTTAATCAGAAAAAAAGCCCATTTTTTAAAATTCTTCTTCATCAGTTACAACATACTGCATCTATTTTGGCCCCACTACAGGGAAGGCCAAATGTCTCTTTGAAGGATCTGGTTTATTAACACAAGGGCTTTTGTCTCCGACTTGATTTCCCAGAGGCAGAATCAAAGCACAGTTAATAATCTACTAACTATATAAGTCCAAAGTCCAGCACTCACTTCCCAAAATAGTGAGTCACCAAAAACTTTGGCCTCTCCCTCTCTCCCAGTGTACGCGCTCACTCTTCTTCCATCAAAGGGTAAAGAATATTTCACTCCACATTACCCATCAGCTGTCAATGTGCTTAACTCAAAGTTGGTACCAATCTACGAGAATTCCCTTCTTTATCATATTTGGTTCAAATTCTGAAACTGATTCAACCATGGTCCCAAGTGACCAGCTGAAAGATCTTAGTACAGTCCAGTGACCATTACAACAGTTACAGAGGGAAAATAGGTCAGATCTTCCTGTTAGGGTCAATTTTCATTACTAATTACAGTATACATTCTACATCTCTGGCCATCTCTTACAGTACACTACTTAAGGTGTACTCATATTAAGTTTTATATTACAGTGTGTGTGTGTGTGTGTGTGTGTGTGTGTGTGTGGTATAGGTATAGGGTTGACACACAACACATGTGGCAGTCAGAGGACAATTTGCGAGAGTCAGCTCTCTCCATCTGTAATGTGTGTGGGTCCTGGAGATGGAACTCAGGTCATCAGCCTTGGCAGCAAGTACCTTTACCTGTTAAGCCATCTCACCAGCCCAAAAGAGTTGTATTTTAAACATCATAGCTTTAGTATTTTATCATTTTAGAGAAAAATCTCTCAATCACCCCTTCCCTTTGTGTCACTAAAGATCAAACCCACAGCCTTGTGCATGACAGCCAATGTTCTACCATTGAGCTACATCTCCAGGCCTAGATATTGTTCTTATGACTTTAAATATATTTTTCTAATTACGATTTTCTTTTTAATAATAATTCTACAAAGTTCTTTGGTCTGTCTGCAATTTCAGTGTCTGGCAATCACTCAATTCAAAGAGCTCTGTCTAAGTCTCCAGCGTCTCCAATGGGAGAGGCCAGACAGGGCAAACAACGGGCTCCCAGCACCACATCAGGAGGTGACATTCTCCTAGACTATAAGGACTTAATAAATTATAGGTATCTCTCCGCCAACGATAAGGCTACCTCCCAATTAACCTATAGAGTGAAAATACAATAAAGTCAAAGCTGCATGGAGCACACTCACCCTAGCAGGTCATAGCTCTGCTTCACATGCCTTAGCTATGTTCTTTACATAGGCCATACCCACCCTCTGAAAGTCTCCAGTAGTGACACTAATGATGACAGTTGGAATTATCATGAAACAGGCATTGTAGAAAAGCACTCCGTATTTCCCCAGCTCCTGTGAGAATAAGAAAACTGCATTCAACTTTAGAGATACAAGGCATTGTGTCTCCTGGGCCAATTTGTCTATTTATGCATTGTTGGAATGTGTAGCAGGCTGGCTCTGTGCTGTAAGACTTTTGGCTAACGTCTTGCAAAATGGAACATCCTACTGTGCTGTAACTTCAGAATAAATATTTGTTCCACACCAACTAGTATGTAATGGGTGGAAACAGAAGGCCTCTGATGTTCTACCCCCATCTCTAACACTCCACTCAAATCTGAAATGAGATAATAGAAATTTACAATGTTAACCAACTCTTTTCAAACATCTGTTCCATCCATTAGAGAATAGCAGCCTTCTGTGTTTGCTTTCACTAAAGTGGCCACCCACTTCTCTGCCCCAAAAAAAGGGTGACATATTGTATTTTCAGGAAGGCAATGAACCTGTTTTTATAAAACTGTCACCATTCAAAGAAACAAATGGGCATACAGATTTTAAAAATAGCTCACAGAAAAGCACCCATCAGTCAAGGAGAACTCCCTCACAAAGCACAAAGAGCTCAGAACAAAGACCCATATGCCTGGCCCACCCCCAGACAGCTTCCGGTCACAGCTGGGGCCGGGTGAGGGCTAGGGGTGGTACAACAAGCAACCACCAGTTTGCAATCAGAAGAGGTGGCTACCACTGGAGGACATGACAAACAACCATCCAGTCATCTCACTTCATGATGAGGAAACAGGTTTGGAGAAACGGAGGTTTAAAGTTGGAATGGCCTAATATCACAGTATCTTCCCCACTTGTGAATTTGTCATGGTCATTAATGAACTGCTTTAAAAAAATGAGTTTGCGGGGGCTCCCCAAATTCTACATCATCATCCTGAGCCAGGCCTAGGCCCCCCCCCCCCCCTGCCCCGGCGCGGGAGACACACACACACTCACACACGCGCGCGCTCTACACGTCACACACACACACACACACACACACACACACTCATATTATGATTCTACATCTAAACTAGCGACATCTTTTCCTCCCTAATTTTCAACTAACAATATCAAGAATAACAAGGTCTTATACACGTAAGACAAGAAGAAATTAGCAGCTTCTAAATTGCAGGATGTGCATCAAGTTACGAGCCAACTGAACTTGTTCATTTTCATTTTTTTCACGTCATTTCAGGAGCCACATGGCACAGGCAAAAAGCCGCAAGAGGGAAGTCTGGTACCTTCGGGTCCATTTTCTGTTTGGTATAAACTCCATTTGCTGCTGTGAAGATGTCGTTCAAGAACACAAAAATGTAGCCTTCCAAGTTGAATGCAAGGTCAGAGCTGGCAGGGAGAACAGGAAGGGGAGGCCGTTATAAAGACACTCTCACCGTGGCCGCAGAGTCTGCTTAATTGTCCTTGGTCTGGTCAAATCTGTGTGTGGTACTAGTACCATCTTTTCTGGGGAAGTTATCCCCCCCACACTAGTAGTGAGTTGTTAATGCCTCTGATTTCTCCCTGAAGAGAGAGAACAAGAGGCTGATCAGGTGACCTCAATGTAATTACACTTAGCTCAAGACCCAGGGACCTTAATGGCAAAATCCTTTATTTGCTAACTGACAGGTTGGCACAATAATTAGTGAGCTGTGACTGTCCTGAGGGCACGCTTTTCCCACCCACCAGTATCCCTGCCATCCCCAGGGTACAGCCCATGTTAGACAGCTGGGAAATGACACCTCCCTCTGGTGCCCGGACATTTCCTTGTCTTTCAAAAGGTGAATCAAGGACCCATGTGCCTATGCAAGCCTTCCAAGGCTCCTTTCTTCCAGAGCTTCAAAGCATCTCACAATTTCCATCCTAAATAAACAGCACCAACAAAAAACATGAGGGGGCATGACACAGGATGAGGCAGACAACCATAACTGATATGATATGTGATGTGATTCACCTACCTGCACTTCCTGTTTACCCCAGACCCAGGTCATAATTCATAATACAAACTGGCAGAAGTCAAATCTCTCATATACCCTCTTAGGTTAAATACTTGGGGCTTTCGAATTTAGTTAACTAGCTAGCTGGTTACTTGATTGTTAGTGAAACAAGATTTCACTTCATTTGCCCAGGAGGGTTTGCAACTCAGACAATATCCCTTTGCAGGAGATAATACCACAGGTAAGTCACATTGCTTCTCACTGGTTGTGGACCGCTAATTTAACAGACAAGTAAAAAACAAATACAAATCATGTTACTCTTTTCCACGCACAGTAATTCACAGGAAAATGAAACTCAAAGTTGGACACTGAGATTTTCGTAACATTTTAGCTAAGAAAGAGCCAAACTAGGACCTAGCAGGAAACACACAAGGAAGCAGTGCCAGGAAAGGTCATTCTAGAGTTGGATTATGCAGATTTATCTATCCCAGTGTCAACTGTCTGTGTCCAGCAGAAGTGGCTGCTGTTGATGGTCACCCACAAAGAGAGGCTATATCCAGCTGTCAGGCACAAAGGACAGCAAAGCTTCCTCGAATCTCTAAGTTCTCAATAACCTCTAACTTCAGAACAACCCTGATGCCAAAGCAGCATGTTTTGGTTAATCAGTCTATGTCACTTTGGCAGTTCCTTGTTCATAAATGCTGCCTGCAGGGATTGCTGGAGGGAGCTGGTTCTGTGGGTTACCAGATGGAAAATGGTTCCATTGACCAACAAAACTATTAACTATTAAATTCAACTTGTTTATGGTTTTTCTTTGGGGGATGGACAGGTAGTCCTACTGGTAACACATTCGCCACACAAACGTAAGAACCTGAATTCTGTCCTCAGAATCCACATTAAAAACCTTTTCAAGCCCTTTCGTGCCAGAAGGTGTGGATGATGCCTTTAATGCCAACAGTCAGGAGGCAGAGGCAGGTGGATCTTTGTGAGTTTGAGGCCAGCCTGGTCTACAGAGCTAGTTCCAGAACAGCCAGGACTACACAGAGAAACTATGTCTCAAAAACAAAAACAAAAACTAAAAGACTAAATAAAATAAATCTAAATAAATAAGTAGAAATCCCTTTGATTATAACCTTAGAGTTGAGAAGGGGAAATAAGTGGGATCCCTACATGGAGTCAGAAAATTCCAAGTCAGTGAGAAACTTTGTTTCAAGAAATAAAATGGACAACTCCTGAGGAATGATGTTGACCTCTGGCCTACACACACACACACACACACACACACACCCATACACATGTGAATACAGCCCATACATACAAAATATTTTAATGAAACAACTAAACTCTAAATTTTTGAATAAGCAGGAAAACCCAGGCTTCTAGAGGCATGGGGGGAAGACACTTCCTGGGAGAGCTTTAGATTCCACAGTCCTGTCTCCTCTAGGGGCCAAGAATGCCCAACAGTGGCATGGGTACTCCCAGAAGCACAGCTTGCCCCATTCTTACCCATCACTCACTGGGCCAGTAGTGAGACTAAAGTATATGAGGAATACAAATGCCATGCAAAATAGAGCCAAACATACATGTAGTGAGACTAAAGTATATGAGGAATACAAATGCCATGCAAAATAGAGCATACTCAGGGTCAGCCAGTGTGGCTGTCATTTGGGCTATTCCTAGATACACTCTTTCAGCATCTCCAGCCATGTGGCTTCCCTGTGTGAATGAGATACAAGGAAAGGAATACACATCACTTCTGGGCAAAAGTTTTATGGACCAGTGCAGAAATCCCCATAACCCCTTTGCCTTCCTGGATCACTGAGGAAGCCTGAGGTAGGGACCTCCTGGCTGGATCCCTAGCTTCACTAATCAGAACCCACTCATAAGCACTGATTGCTGTGGGTTCACAGTCGAGGAAGTGTGTATCACTGTTTCTACAGTGAGATGCAGGGCCTGTTTATTACAGCAGATGGACCTGGATCATCCCAACTAAATCTAATCAACCACCATTTGCCCAGGGGTTGGCTAACTTTGGTAGACAGAAAGTTATCTCTAGAAGGGATTGACCAACAGGCACCAAAAACAGGGCACATGGGAGCAGAGGTGGGTCTGTGGTGGGGGGGGGGGGCGAAACAGGGTGTAAGATAACTGTGGTGGTTGGCTGATGGTTATGATATGAAGACACTGGTGATGGTCAATTCAGACAGGCCAGCTAGGCTTCCCAAAGCAGGATGTAAACAACAATGGGCAGTAGTAGGCAAAGCTAGCTTGGTCAAGTCAAAGTTATTTCAGGAACTTTCTCACTAAGAAACATGTGCAGAGTGCTGGCACCCTTTCCCCTAGCATACTTTTGGGGGAAATTAAACCCCATACATACTCTTGCATCTTTTTGGTATTAAAATTTTATGAGTGTTTTGCTTACATGTATGTATGTGTACCCTGTATGTACCAGGTACCCAAGGAGGTCGGAAGAGGGCATAAGATCCCCTGGAACTGAAGTATTGGATAGCTGTGAGCCACCATGTAGATGCTGGGAACTGAACCCGGGTCCTCCCGACCACGGGGCTCTCTCTCCCTACTCTTGCATCTTATACATCTATTTGTAACAGACTGAATTCTGGGTAAAGTGGACTTCCAAGAAAAGTATGCCCCTTTGTAGGGGAAGCTGTAGCCACGCCTGCTTAGGGGCTGGCTACAGGTGTGCCTGATCTACCTCTGTATCCTACTGAATTCTCTTTGCTGATGTGTTGGGGCAGAGGAAACTTCAGTAGGAGGGCATACGTTGGTGTCACAAGTGTCCTGTGGCTCAGGACCCTGAATGTCACTCATCAGGAAGGGATCCATCTGGTGAATGCTGGAGGTAAGGGAAAGTCAGAATTGCTACTCCAAGCTGTTTTTGGGTAAAAGCAAGATGATTTTAGAAACAATTATCAACGTGTTCAAAGTCAGTTGAGCTCATTCAGGTTCTGCACTGGCCACTCCCCACCAAAGACTCAGAAACACGTATGTGCACAAATATGTGCTAACATGCATGTGCGTATGTACGCTGGTGTGTGTGGAAGCCAGAGGTTGATGTCACTCACAGCTCTTCCTTGGTCACTCTCCACATTATTATTTAAAACAGGGTCTCTTCACTGAGCCTCAGACTCACCATTTTGGATACACTAGCCAGCCAAGTGAGATTCAGAGACCTACTTGTCAGTACTGAGGATATACAGGTGTGTGCTACCACTCCTGGCTTCCTCTTTTTTAAAAAAAACATAGTGTAGGGTTGTATACATAGAAGGACAGACAGTCATTTCCTTCTGCTCTGCATCTACAGAAATGATGAAGGTAGGAAACTGAACTAATTAGCATCATCCTGTTCTGGAACATATCAGCATTTGCAATGAACACACTCTACCAGTTATCACAGAACAATAAAACAACAATAACTGGGTTATAAACCTGTTGGTTTTTGTGTGTGTGTGTGTGTGTGTGTGTGTGTGTGTGTGTATGTGTGTGTGTGTTGGGTGCTTCGGAATGAACACGGGCCCTAGTGCATGCTAAGTTAAATATTCTACCACTGAGCTATACCTCAAGCCCAAATTATTTTGTTATTTTGAACCAAATACCTCAGAACACTTCAAATAAATGTTTTGACCTGAGGGCATTCGATGACAAAAGTAAACAGATCACTGCTTTTTGTCAAGAGTAGTTAAGTTACTACCCAGTGATGCTTACTTATAACAGGACATTGTCATTTATAGAATTTATACTCAAGAGCCACACAAATGAGTTACAAAGAAAAAAAAAACTCACCAAAAAAGTCTCCTAATAGTTTAAGTGGTGTCGGGCCACTTTGACAACTACCCTTACCCCCACAGGCCACAGTTCGACCTACCAGGACATGGTCTCAGAAGCATTTCCAGCCAATGTAGGACCTACTTTTTTTTTTTTTTTTTTTGAGACAAGGTTTCTCTATGTAGCTTTGGAGCCTATCCTGGCACTCGCTCTGGAGACCAGGCTGGCCTTGAACTCACAGAGATCCGCCTGGGATCCGCCTGGGATTAAAGGCGTGAGCCACCAACGCCTGGCAGGACCCACTTTTTGATGCTCACAAGAACACATGGGAATGCCACTAACTCAACAGATTTGTCTCCTAGCTACCCAATCCAGCTGCAGCCAGATATAAAGGGAAAACCTTTAGGACAGGACTGCCAATTCTCAAAGACATGGAGAAGCCACTGAGCAGCAGGACAGTGCCAAGTCTCACCCAGCTGCTATGAAAGCCCCAAGCACGATGGCCAAAACACTGAAGATGATGTTCAAGGAATAGTGTTTCCTGTAGTCAAGAAAAAAGAAAAGGAAGGGGTGGGGAAAAAAATTAAAATGTGGATTTTTACGTTTAAAAAAACAAACAAACCTGAAAACAAACATCAGTGGTTTTCTGGCTAAAACTTAACTTCTAACATCTTCATATAGAGAAGGCTCTGGAAGTGCAGTTGGACCAAATTTACCTATTTCTTAAACTGTTTCCCTAATCTAATTGTGATGTGGTTTTTCTGTTCTCCCTGGAAAGATACTGGGATAGAATATGGAAGAGGACAAGCTGCACAGTCTAGTTTGTAGGGACGTCTATGGCACATTGGAAGATTAAGTCCAATACTACAGCTTAGAACACTGTAACTTTAACTAAATTTCACTTCCATACAATCTTTACTGAAAAATCAAAGTTTGCATTTTTAGGGGTCAGCCTGGGTGTCCTCATAAGAAAAAAATATCTACGTGGAGGTATGCTTTCTCAGCCTGGACACATGAGGGAGGGCCTAGGCCCTGCCCTGGATGATATGAGAAAATGGGGGGGTCCTGCATGGAGGGCCTCACCCTCCCTGGGGAGCAGAGGGGGGATGGGGAGGGGGGAGGGGGAGGGAGAGGGAGCTGGGATTGACATGTGAAGCAGGCTTGTTTCTACTTTAAAGAAAAGAAAAAGAAAAATCTATATTGACATTTGTAAAATTTAATTTATTCTGACACCATGTCATAGAGTATCAGAACTCTGTCCCCTTGCTCTTCTGCTTGCCTTCCCTGTCTGTGGGCAGCAGCTCTTTGTCACTAGTCATTCATCCAGTCCAGAACACAGATTCGTATCTGTTTAAGGGTGGTTGTTATTTCTCTTACAATTTTCTACCACAAGCATGCTATTTGTCTGCTGTAAAAATAAATACTTAAATACCCCTCATTAATATTTTAGGGGATTCTGGAAACAGTTGACTCCTCTTAAATGAACAAATAATTGTTCCTTAAGTTGCTGCAAGTATTAATTCCAATTTATTACTCAGAAAGAGGACCTCAAGGCGAGAATTCGTTGGATAAAAATAACAGGGACTGGGGAGATGACTCAATGGGTAAACTCTTATGGAACAAGCCTGACAATCTGAGTTCAGAGCTCCAGGACTTGTGAAAATCTAGGCAGAATGGCACAAGCCCAGATGGCAGAGACAGGCATATCCTGGGGTTCTCTGGCCAGCCAACCTAGCCAATAGGTGAACTCCAGGTTCCATAAGAGACCCTGTTTCAAACAGCAGAGAGCAATAGTGAAAAAATACAGGACCTCAGCCCATGTCTTCAACATGCAAATACAGACAGAGTCTCACACATCCACAAACAAAAACAGTGCATCGGAAACATAACAAAGGAATGAAGAAAAAAAAACAAACTCACCGAAGTATGATGGCTTCCAGGAGTAAAGTGAGTGGGATTGTAAATTTCCTGAGCACGGTGAACATTGGCAAGCTGTCAGAAAAGATTCAACCCTAACATCAGACACACAGTGTCAGCTGCTATTTTTGTTTTAAACATGGCACACATTTTTAAGTAAGGTCATTTTCCATACTAAACATAATGAGTTAACATTCATTATAATATTTACCATTACCAATCATATTAAAAACAGGGATTGAATCATTTCCTGCCACTTTAATAAACTGATACAACACACACACAAAAAAAAAAGTCTGTCAAATCTGAGCTGGCTTTCTTTTCATCTGCAGAAACAGGCAAGTTAATTCCAAAATTAGAAATTCAAGGGTCCCAGAAAGTCAAAACCATGTTGCAGAATAACAAAGTCAAGGGGCTGAAGAGATGGCTCAGAGGTTAAGAGCAGTGCTGCTCCTGCAGATGATACAACTTCAGTTCCCAGCACCCACATGGAGGCTCACAACCACCTGTAACTCCAGTTCCAGGGGATCTGACACCCTCTTCTGGTCTTCATGGGCATTTGCATTCATATGCACAAACCCGTGCACAGACACACACATTTACACATAACTTAAAATAAAATTCATTATTTTAAAATATACTTTTAAAAAGTAACAAAGTTAGGGGGCTGGTGAGAGTGTTTGGCTGGTAAAGACACCTGCTGCTAAGCTTAATAGGGTAAGTTTAATCTCATAACACAATTGGTGGAAGAAGAGCACCAAGTCTTAAAAGTTATCTTCTGACCTCCATGCAAGCACAGGTGCTCGCAGACAACACACACACACACACACACACACACACACACACACACACACACACACGAGAAAGAGAGAGAGAGAGAAGAGAGAGAGAGAGAGAGATTGAAATGTTTTAAAAAGAAAATTAACAAAGTAGGTGTACTCACATTTCCCAACTTCAAAATTTACTACAAAGCTACAGAAACCAAGACTACCTATTACTGATTTAGTAACATATAAATAGAATTGAAGGATGGAAAATAAAGGCTTGCAATTACAGTCAGTTGTTTTTCTTTTATCTTGTTTCCTTTTATTTTCTTTGCTGAATACCCATCACTATAATCTATTTCAGGAACTTCATTCTCCAAAGCAGGAACTTGGAACCTGCTCAACAGTAATTCCTTATCCCTTGGCTCCTAGCTACTGGTTGTCTACCCTGTGCTCCATCTTTGTCAACTTGCCTAGACCTGTGAAGCAGACAAATGCAGACTAGGCTGGCATAGAACTTGTGGTCCTCCAGCCTCTGCCTCCTAAATAGTACAACTACAGGCATGCTACACCTCTCCCAGATCAATAGATTGATTTTCACCAAGGGTCATGAGATAACTCAAGGAAGAAAGAAATACCTTCTCAGTGAATGGTGTCAGGACATCTATAACTCCCATGAATAGAATGAAACTGAATTCCTACACACATCACACTACACACACCACACACACAGGGTGTCAACCTTACATATTGACTATGTGGCATAAAATATAACAAGGATGGGAGTGTAGGAAATAAAACTGAGAAAGAATGCTTGTGCTCCTGGATCAAGCATGCCTTCTTAGATACAACACTAACAACAAGGCCAGCAAAAGAAAAGATGGGCTAGGGCTGTGGCTCAGTGGTAGAGCACTTCTTTAGTGTATACCAGGCCAGGAGTTTATTACCCAGAATGACAAAAAGAAAAAAGAAAAATATCTAAATTAGAAATAATTAAAATTTAAAACTTTGATGTTTTATGTTTCTTTAGATACACATATAAAATGGAGTATTATTCAACCTTTAAAAGAAATTAAAGTCAGGTGCATTCTACAACATAGGTGAAATCTGAAAACACCAAGCTATAGTAATAATACAGATCCCCCCTCCCCCCGAAAAAAAAGGACAACTGTCTGTATCTATCTAGAGAAAGAAAAGCTACAGATGCAGAACATAAAGCAGAGGTTACCAGTAGCTGGGGCTAAGGAGATTGATTGCTCAGTGGGTTAGAGCACTTGCTGTACTAGCATGAGGACCTGAGTTCAAATCACCAGCATCTATGTATAGAGTTAGGCATGGCTGCATGTGCCTGTAACCTCAGCATTGGGCATGAGACAACAACAGATGTCAGAAGCTCACTAGCCAACTAGACTCATTAACAAGGTGAGTTTCAAATTCAGTAAATAAGAT